CTTATTTTGTATATGTGGGGGTCTATATGAATGCGCTTGCTCCAGCTGGTGGTACAATATTCGGAGGCGGTATCGCCTCTCTGATCCTCTAGTTTATTTGTTATTTTTTGTTTGGTTGTTTATAGAGACTGTTTCTGTGACCAAACAGACAATCTAATGATTTTAAAAATATTATGAAAAATGCTCTGAAGGTAGAAATATATCTTGTTTTAAGTGTAATATTGAAAGAGAGAGCTTTTTTTTTTTTTTTTTTTTTTTTTACTGCAGTCAAGTAGACAGTGTGATTGAGTAATCTTGGAAATAAATACCAGAAGTAAAGGAAGAAATGTGTGCCCATCTTCAAAGTATATGGGTCAAGATCTTAGTGCAGATTGAAAGTTAACATTTTTTTTTCCTAATACTTTTAAGTTCATTTATTTTCATAAGTTCAAACTACAAAACTGTTCAATTTTGTTAAGAGTTTGACAGTGGAATACCTCATCAAGTAACAGTTAGATTATGATACATTTGTAAAGGAAAAATGAAGGAATGTTGTATTGTCCTATATTGGTATTTATTTTTGCAGAGTTAGTGACAAGCCAAGACTGAAGTTATGAGATTTTTAGAAATTTTAAATGGAACAATCCTCTCTTATGATTTATTTATTTTACAGATTTTGTTGTAGATTTAAGTCAGTTTTTTTATTTCATTTGTATGTGCTTAACTAATCAGATTTTATTTGATCTCAATGCAATTTTAGTCTTATCAAGAAGGGAACATTTGGTAATCAGTATTCAAATAAAGGTTATTTCTTGATATTATTGTTGTTAAACATTTCCAAACACAACACAGAAACAAAATACTGCTTGTGATAGAACCTTTATGTAATGAAATTGTGATTATCTTTGAACATGTTTATTTCCTAACAGGAGTATTGCTATCATCTAAGGCATACAACAAGCTTAATTTCAATAAATTAACTAGAGATATTATATAAATCATAAAATACCATTGTGCTTTACATGTGGTCTATGAATAAATAACAATATATGGTCCTCTATAAGTTATTTGATGTAACATAACTTCAGTATTTACACTAAACATCAAAGCAACTTTTAGTTTTTTTTTTTAACTTTTACAGTAACAAGGTCAAACTATAGACACCATATTCCAGTATCTGAGCCAATAATGATAGTGTTTATAACGTTCACATAAACTTTGTAAATGCAAATAGATACTTACACCTTTAACAATACTAAAATGTCTTCAAAAATATATGATGATATAATATAATGATATAACAGTAAATAAAAACTATAACTGTGCACAATGAGAAGTTAAATGTGAGGTGTCAGACAGCAGTTCAGTGTCTCAAATATGATGATATTATCTAAAATCTAAAATAAAATTCCCAATGGAACAAAGATAGTTTAGTGTACAGTGAAGTAGAAAAGAGTATCTTGCTTTCCAAAAAAAAAAGCATGAATAAAATGAGGATCAATATTTTTGGAAAATAAAAGAGTTATCAGAGAGTTATCAGCAACAAACCCAGTTGAGTGGGGAAAAAGAAACATCAAGGCTCTGCTGGGCTTTTGGATATAACATTATCTCTGAGTAAAAATAAAGCACTTCTGTGATGATAGTTTGCAAGCACCTTGCAGTAGAGATTCACAATTTTAAGATAATATGTGAATAAGTTGCTGCTTATAGTAGTTTGCTAGTAATTTAAGTACTACGTACAGTCTTAATTCAGCTCCCCCTTCTCCAACACACACATGTGCACGCACTCACACACACACTTTGATTAAACATATTCTGGTGCGTCATATTTCTTTTGTGCATACTTTTTGATATCAAATCTATAATTTTTACTGCCATTCTTAAATGAATGTTCATTTATATATCATTATTTATGATTGATAATGATTAAAAATTACAACTTTAAGTATTTTATTTCTAAATGCACATCCAAACAGTTTAATGACTCAGTGAAGTATTTTGTACAATATATATCTTTACAAATTCACCTTTACTTGTAGAATTGTTTTGGAAAAAATAATAATAATAATAATAAACTAATTAATTAATTAGAAAGGTTGCAGTCTGTCTAGTTCAATTTGTATGCCAAGAAACAAATGCTGATAATAATTATGGTTAAATACTTTTTATACGTAATACATGTTGCTTGTACCACAAAATCAATTTAAAAACGACAACATAAAATATATAACAATCAAATGTCTCTTCAGCCCCCCCCCCCCAAAAAAGGCAAAAAGTTTTTTTTTATCTCCATCTGCCTCAGTTTGGTATTCTTATTTGTCTTGTGTTCATAATGTAAACTTCATGAACTGTGAATGCAGACTGTTATATCTGGTGCATCTTATCGATAATAACTAGATCTTTCCAATGGGAGAATTTATAGATACTGTACTTTTATGTCATAATTTCTTAAAATTTAAAGGTACATACGAACCGAGCATCGGTGGAGTGTGGATTCCCAGTAACACATGTAAACCACTTCTACTAGATTCTTATATGACTCAAATAATTTCGACATGCCAAGGGATAAACTGAATAGATCACTCGATCGGCCATAAAAGACCTTTAGACTGCTCCTTTCTTTAAATTTATGGTTGTAAATTTAACCTACTTCCGTGACCTACTTTCCTGCCCCATTGACATACAGCTTAGAATACCAGCAGAAAAATCTGTTCAAACATCACTTTGGGGTAAAATTAAACAATGCCTTTTGGTAATTCTCTTAGTTATACTACTTGTAACTATATGCTGGCATTTGGTTGGTTTTTGTGACAAAAAATTGACTTTGTATGCATCTTTAAACATTTCTATAGAGTGGTAGCAATAAAATTAAAAAGCAGGCTACTCTATACCTCTGTTCTATGCAGTAAAAAGACATGCTATACAGAAATATAATTTCTGTGATTATTAAATTATGTATCTGAAAGTTTGGTCGTTTTTCCCACTGAATAGATATGAAACCTTAAACTTTGGGATCACTTCTCTTTTGCAATTGCATCGATCAGCAGTGAGATCAACTTTTCCCCTCGTTTTCACTCTCTCGTTTCAGTTTTGCATCTAGCACAGTGTAACTAATCATCCCAGCCACTAGCATTCCAAGGTAGATGTAGGTCTTGACAGCCATACATATATAGGGCGCAAAACCAAAGGAAAGTGCTATAGCAAAACCCTGGAAAAACTTCATACTGGCATACGCTGGTTCTTTGTTGTTGCTGAACAGAGTTCCAACCAAACCTAGAAAAGACCAGAAGTATAAGTTATATTGTAAAGAAATGTGCTGATAATATATTAAGATATTATAGATTATATGTATCTTTGGGTTTTTAGAGGTACATATGAACCGAGCATCGGTGGAGCATGAATTCCAAGTAACACATATAAACCACCGATGCTCGGTTCATATGTACCTTTAAAAACTTTCAACATGCCAAGGGATAAACTGAATAAATCACTCGATCATCCATCAAATAGCTTTAGACTGCTCCTTTCTTTAAATTTTTGGTCAGAAATTTAACCTACTTTCGTGACCCACTGTTCTGCCCTATTCATATACAGCATAGAATGCTACCAGAAAAATCCATTCAAATATCATTTTTCGGGTAAAATTAAACAATGCCTTTTGGCAATTCTCTTAGTTATACTACTTGAAACTATATGCTGGCAATTGGTTGGCTTTTGTGGCAAAAAATTGACTTCATATGCATCTTTAATCAAAAAGTTATTTTTACCAGCTATATTATACAGCGCAGCTTCAGCGTGTAAATTGTTCAGATGCCTGTAAGGCATCTGCAAGGCATCTGCAGATTTATAAAATAAATTGAGGCTTTTAACGCTTACAAAGTTATTCCTGTCAATGTATTAATTAACCTATTTCAAACTCATCACAGTTGAATGATGAATGGAGAAAAATCCAATTTTCAGAGTGCGTGTTACCCGCAAGCAAGACAGATTTAAGTTTAAGCATGATGTATAAATCAATAGCAGATTGAGACAATTGTCCTACCTATATTTTATTTTAAATTAAGCTTTGGAGACTAAAAAAGGCATAAAATTGTCTTGTACCAAATGTGTGTGGCACTCCCGTGGCTTTGCATGCAATGTCACCTTGCCAATGAAAGTCAGATAATCCTTTTTAATAAATAAATTAAGATTATGAATGCTGGACGAAAATAAGATATTGATCATTTAATTAATGCTGTTCCTTAATTATTGCGTTATTAAAATTGAAAGGAATCTACACCACTTACTGCTCAGTTGGGTCGCCCATATCCCGTCAGCCACTCCCCACAAGCCAGTTATAACAAACAGCACTGCCTGTTGTTCTGGGATCGGCTGCCATGTTGCCAGAACCACACCAAGACACAAGTCAATCAAAGATGCTGTAATCACAAATGAAGTTTTAGAAAACACTCAACTGTTGTAAAGAGGTGGATTTTTAAATTTTTTATGGAATACAAAGTAAGAAAACTGCAAACTTAGGATTTTAGTCTGAAGATTGAAACGTGACTTTCAGATTTATTCAGTGAAATGAAATGTATATAATTGATTTAATTAAATGTGTTCAAGATGGTTTAAATATGCATTTAAACAATTATAAGGTAGCATTAGTACTGCTTAGCTAGGCAGTAAATCGAACTCTTACAACTAAAACATAATTCATTATACAATGCTCCTACCTGTGCCCAACAAAGTGCGTGTGCTGATGTGTTTGGCAAGACGGCCATTGGTGATGGCGCTGGCTGCATTGCACACGCCAAAGCAGATCATTGTGTAACCAATCATTTCCATTCCCAAAGGACAGGTGATGAATGCCTGAAACGGTGTAAAGATCAGATTTAAATGCCAATTTACATGTATATAACACCATGATGATTTTCATAGCTTTATTTCAAAAACTGAGATCTGAAGACAATAACAAAGTGAAACTAATTTTGAACAAAATTTCCCCTAATTTGAGGTGACCTCTCCAAACACACACACCAACCTTAATCTTCTAAAGATAATCTCATATTACAGAAGCACCTATAGCTTTATTTTTTTTGCTCTCCCATTTGCTTGGCATATTAAAAATTGTTATATTAATACAAAAATGCAAATGACACACGTGCAAACATACCTTAGTGAAATCACCAGCAATGAAAGCAGCCCTAATCCCAGTGTAAAACTGTAGAAAGACCAGGAGCTGCTGCCTGTGGTCCTTCACCGTTGACACCAAAGCCTTGAGTTGTTCTCGGGCACTGATGGGCTTACGCTGAAATATCTTCCTCAATCGGTCAACAAAGCACACTGTGATGGCTAGGCCGGCCAACACGCAGAAGAGGTAAACTGCTATGAGGATGTAGATAATGTGTTTAGGCAGTTCCTCCCCTGAATTGTGAGTAAGCTTCATGCTATGGCAGTAGCCCGAGCCACAGAGAGACAAGTGAGAATGGGACAAAGAAGAAAAGTTTGTGGATGTATTTAAAAGCGAGGGAGACGTGTCTTTAAATGTGCTGTTGAAGAGCATGACGATTGCTGTACTCCTGTTGGTGGACACATCTGGTATGTAAGGCGTGCCTGATGCTTTAGGTTCCAAGTTTAAAGATGGTACCTCTGAGAGGTTGGAGTTATTCCCGTAAATGTCCTCCAAGTGTTCAGCCATTGATACATAGTTTGGTGAGTTTAGCACCAAAGAAGCAGTCAAATTCCCAATAATGTTCGACATTTGCCAAATCATGAAAAAGATACCATAAAATTTATTCATGACATCTGATGGCCTTTTCTTCATCACTGTAGCATAACTGGATGCAATGCTGGCTATATATGTTCCTTGGGCAATCCACATTGTGGCATTGGCAAACCCCGCCAAGGCAGAGGCAGGAACCAGCAGAAACGGACTTGGATAAAAATTGGCTGTCACATAACAGGCCTGCAGGGCCATGCCAAGGATGAGAGTGTTCTTAGGCCTTAGAATCTGTGTAACTGCAGTTCCTGTAAGAGAAGCCAGCACAAAGACACCATACATAACACTAAGGGACAAGAGGCCAAGGCCACCAGTTGGGTTCAGACTGCTCTGAAGATTACGAAGGGAAGTAAAAGAAGAAAACACGAACATAAAACTCAAGCTCAAGGCAATCAGGTTCTTCATATACTTCTTGGCTTCGCGTGGACGGGGTTTCTCATACATGGCATCGTAGGCAATTTTACGTGCATAGCGCGAGAGGAGTCCCTGCTGACTAGATGTGCTCTGTAGACTGTCATCGTTTGTGTAACCATAAACGTTTTCTCCACGGATTCGGAGGTAGGTTCGCGCTGCACGTGCGAGGAGCCCCTGAGTACTGGATGTGCTGTGTAAACTGTCATCGTTGGTGGAAGACTGATCGTCCTTGGTATCTTTGACCTCCTGACTCTGGCCGATGTCCTGTTGACTCATTATCAACTCAAAGACCTCGTTGGTGCTGTTGAAGGTGACGTGTCGTTCTTCGTTGTTAAGTTCAGAAGTGGGAGAGGAGGTGACTGAGACCTCGGGAACTTTTTCCACAGAGAATCTGGATCGGCTACGTGTCAACTCAAAGGCCACATTTGCAAGGACTTTGTTTGTTGGGGACGAAGGGTGCTTGATGTCCATGCACTTCTGATTGTAGCTTTCATTGTGTAGATCTAAAGCTTCTAATGTGTTTTGGTCGGTTTTACCAACGTGATCTTGTAGTTCCACCTCTCTTGATTTGGGCAAAGGGCCAAACTCTGGTTTCTTGGTAGTATTCTCTATCGTATTCACTGGGTTCACAGCAGGAGGGCCATTTGCCAGTTTTCTAGCAGCAGTTACAAGAAGTCCATGGGCACTTGACGCACTTTCCACACTGTCCAGATAGTCAGAATCGTCCAGTCTTGGCAGCTTATCATCAGGACTACCAGAAGCCATTGCCTTTTTCGGGCTATTATCTCTGACTTCACTGACATCTTTACAAGTGGTAGGTTTTGAAGCGACAGGAGAAGATTTCAAATAATCCCCATTCTCTTTCGTTTCAAAAAGACTCACTATACTGGGGCATTTCACCAAAAATCTTGGCAATACGTCATGTCCGATTTCTTCTAGGTAGTCTTCAAAACCGCCATGTGCGTCCTCTGCGTCTTCATCAATGAAGATGATGTCCTCTATATCTGGATCGAAAGAAGCTGTGCTGTCTGACTGTGGCAGCATCTTCTCTTTGGCGTTCTTACTGGGTATTCCCTTTTTGGTTTCCATTATCTTTCAAGTCTGGAAAGTTGTTGAAGATTAGATTTATTAATCAATAGAACTTTGTTGTATGACGTTGTTACAAGATCATTTTTCATAAACTGCAGTGTGACATTGAAATTTTACCTTGAAGATTAATTTTGCCTGACACATTGGATCAATTTGTAAAAACTGATAAATTGTTAAATATTGACTCAGTTTTTAGGATCGCCTTTGTCTGCTGTATTTATCTTCGGGTTTTGAGTAAGTCTTTGATGAGATCTTTTGTTTATTATTATTATTATTATCAGCATAATTATAATTATTATTACGCCCCATATGGTTGGTATTTCGTGCCTTATATACTGCTTAAATTATCATTCAATAAGCCAGTGGTAAAATCTTCGTATGGCCAAGGTTCGTTGCCTTTTAGGGCCAGGGATGCTAGGATGGCAGCGATTAAAATCCAGCATTTTAAACGAGTATTTTCAAGTTTTTTTTCTTTTTTTTTTAATTTTTTTTTAGTTCACCTCACTTCTGACACTCTCAACGTTGTTTCGATGTTCCGGTTCTATACGGAAACACGCACGTCCGAGCATACACAGTTTGTAATTTGAGAAAACTCAGGCACGAAAGAACCACGTCTGTTTCCCCGAATGGCACAGGATGCATAAAGCATCTTGCTCTGAAGGTCCTGCTCCATGCGTGTCCAGTCATTCAGAATGCTGACCTCCACTGTGAACGGAACCGTGATAGGACCCATTTGGGTAACAGCTCAAGCATTGACTAAGTTGTTATATATATATATATATATATATATATATATATATATATATATATATATATATATATATATAAAGGAGAAGAAGCAAAGACCATGATGTGGAATACTTCAACCACCTGATGCTTGGCCTTATCCCTGTTTGCTGACTTATGAGATACAGTTTATATGATTTACAACGATTCACAACGATTTCAACAAATAAAAAACGGTTTTACTTCCATCCCAGTTTCCGATGTAGAACATACCGATGTAAACTTGAGTTAAAACCTAAGCTATCTTTGTTTAAACCAAGCACTTCTTGTCTTTATCGTTCTGAACGCGAATCCAGCCTGTATGAGTAGGTAAATTACTATCTTTCACTACTGTATACATTCAGCCGCTGTATAGCGATTTCTGCTGGTTATGAAAAATTGATATCCTTAATGTTTTATCTTACTGTAATTTCTGCTACATTATTGCCTGCATCTACAGATAACCTAGGTTATCTCTTTCTGTATGAGATTTCCAGTGGGTCATGACTCACAAATAGATATTTTCAGGTTTTTTTTCAGTAAATAAACATTGAACATAACAAAATAATGCTATTTACTAATCATGAAAAGATGTTTCACGGTGTAAAGGACTTCTTATACTTACAAAGCGAAAAGATTATAGTCAGTCTGTTGTTTACTTTGTTTGTCGCATTTTTTACACAAAACGTATCGCCTGTGTAGTATTACCAGTATATGCGAAAAAAAAACACCTTAGTTCTTTTCGTTATAAAGTGACCTGCCATCGTTTTTCCTAAGACTTGCCTACGTACACTGTAATCGAATTGGTTTCCCAGTTTTGTGTTTACCTTCAAGTCAGGCGTTGCTTGATTTGAGGTTTAATACAACAGAAAATGACAGCAAACCTTTGAAATAATGTTTGGTTTGTTTGACATGATTTTTGAACAAATAAAGAAGAGCCGAAAGGAAGTCACATGTCTATTAAGCTGCCTTGTATAATGAAAGAGCGCGTGTGACCTGCATAGGAGGAAGGGAGATAGTTAAATTGAAAATATCACTTCATGTATCACTTCATGTAGCTTCCTGTATATTAGGCCTACATGTAAACTTTGCTTCAGTGTGATATTGGCCACTAAACGCAAGCTTCATGTAGGCTTTACGAAAACAGTATGACTATTATTACGTACATACATTAACTTGGATTTAGTGTAATATTGGCCACTGAACTTAAGCTTTATGTAGGTTTTACAGAAACAGGATGATCATTATTAGGCCTAAATTTCCACATGTAAATTTTGCTTCAGTGTGATATTGACCACTGAACGTAAGCTTCATATGAGTCTTACGGAAACAGCATGGTTATTATTACCTACATACATTAAACTATGCTTCGGTGTAATATTCGTCACAAAACTTCACATAGGTTTTACAGGATCGGTATGATTATCGATCCTTGCGTATCGGATAGGCATTGAATGGCGCTGTATTAGAAAAGCTTGCACGTTCGTTATCAGCCAGCCTTGGTCAATATTTATAACCTTGCTTGACCACAAGATGGCGATTAATTTGGTGCAAAAACAGACCAAAAATCGCGGGATTAACGAGTAGTAGGCTTATCACACGCAGAAATGCCAATTAAAATTCTTCGCATTAATAGTATGATAAATAGGCCTAGTCGAGGCAACTAAAATATCGTCTTTGTATCTGTGTACGTTTTACTTTGAATATGAATAAATTGTTCAATAGGTGTTTCTGTGCTTTAGATTTATGGATTCTAATAATAATAATAATAATAATAATAATAATAATAAGTATATGTATAAGTATAATTGTTGATGTTATTCAATTATTTTTTCTTTATTACTTTTTTCTTATTAATTTATTAATTTATTTCTTTATTAAATCTTGCAATCTGAGCTCGATAAGATGACATCACGTTGTCTATACTGGTAACAAAATTTAATAAAAAAAGCCCCAAAGACTTTGACCTCGGCAATTACGCACATCCCAGTCACATAAAAAAAAAACACGTGGATCGCGGTGACATAAATAGCCATAGTCATCAGTAACACAAATCCAGATTTAGCCCTATGCGCTCCAGTTGGCAGAGCACAGATGCTGACTCACATGTAGCCTACTATCCATTATACTCCCTATCACCCTGAGAACAACGGCCAGGACAGTGGCTGCAGAGTTTCAGATCTGCATTAGGGGAGATCTGCTACTACCCCGATCTTCAGGGTAAAAGAAAGGCGCCTGCTGATACAGACAAAGACACATCATACCTAGACTTGAACTAAAAATCTATTTAAACCCTGGTATAAGAGCTGATAATGGTACTCGAGAGAATAATTAACTACAGGCGTTCTATGAAAATCACCTAATATCAAAGGCAGATTGCATAATTAGTAATGCAAATAAAAAGGTGTGTTTTGGGGCTCACGCGATCTAGTTTTTCATAATTGCCGAGGCTTGAAGGATAACTACAGAGACTTTGCGATTGCACTCATATCACCTATCCCTCATATACATAAATTTGCGCCTTAAGTGTCATTATTTTACACAAACTTCGTGGCCATTTCTAAACATAGAATAAACCGTATTCACCTCCTAGTGCACTGTTTTATTTGCTTAGTATTGGCTCTTCATTAAACTCAACAAAACGGCAAAGTCTTAGTTTTCAAATACAATACATTTAATGTTTGTTTTGAAATCGAAGCAAGCTGGATGTTTGCGTAGGCGCGCTAATCTCACCACATACCGCGGTACTTTTTTAATTTTATTTTAACCGACGTTCAGTGCTGAAATGGGACTGCATACAAGACCCGTATGACAAACTCTATTTTCCGAGTGCCGTTATCAATTAAACAACAGTTTATTCAATATCAAATACTTTCAGCTCTTTGCTTTATTTGCATTTATTTGCATTTTCCACATGCATTATATTCCTGCCTCTTCTTATGCACAGCTTGCGTCTGTGTCAGGTGCTAATGTTAACTTGCACTTCATATTGAAGTAAAAATAAAAATGTCTGGTTTATGAAACGTGCCGCAAACATATACACCATCGCCATAGAGTACAATGTAACAAACCGAGCGAGATATTATGCCAATAGAGTTACGCAATAATTTAACAGTTTTGTATATTTTGTGCCATAGTGCAATGGCGGATCGGGCGGGGAGAGGGAGGGTATACCGGACCACCTCCGTCCCCCCCCCCCCCACCCCTCTGCATTTACTTCCAAGGTAACCCGTTCTACGCACGCCATCTACTTGTACTTCAAGAACAAATAATTACCGAAACGAGATCATATCAAGCAGATTTTCCATCAGTGAACCCTATCTACATATCGATATGAATTTATCCTTGTCTACTATTTCACATTTATCCTTGTACCCCCCCCCCCCCCCCACTAGCAAAATCCTAGATCAGCCAATGCATGCGTCCTCTGATTTTCGATGCTATATTGCATGTTAAGTGGCATTTATATTTTACAGCCTTGATAACGATTGCTATTGCAGCTTATTCAGTCACGTAGTTCAATGTATAAGTTAGCATCAATCAACATGACAAGGAAACAGACGCATTTACACGTGGATTTATTCTTCAATATACTTAACCTGCATGGTTATGTAGGATTCCATTGATTTCTATCCAAATTAGCGCGGTGTTGGTCGTTTTCTTGCATAGAAAGTGGTTTATTGATACAACGACGACGACGGAGTTAAGGTAGCTTTATCGGCACATGGAAGAGTTCCTACATTTCTCTAGGCATCCTATACTAGAAAGCCCTTACATTGCTCTCTCACTCTCTCTCCCTCTCTCTCTCTCTCTCTCTTTCTCTCACACACACACACACACACACAAACACACACACACAGACAACTCTTAAATTTCAGCATTAAGGTTATCAGGCAACGAACATAATGTATATGTTCACAATAATAACTCCATCCTTTTCTGTATTCAAACCCTTTGTTAAAAGCTTTATATTCACGACACCAAGAAAAAATCAGATGGTTATTATACTGCAGGTAAGTGAGAGTTCCCATTCAAGTAACTTACCTGTGCTGTTTCAATAATCAAAATTTGATGTAAATCTTGCCATCACTTTCCGACATATTTCGGCTGCACCTTAACCGTCACTAACGTCTTTATAGGAGGCATCGTGTTAATGAATACGCCTTCGGATGATCTTATCACACAATCAAGTTGCGTCATGAGGGAATTTTCACGGTAACCACTAGCAACACAGTCACTCCTTTTCCGTGTCATTGATACAGTATTCTTGACCTTTGTGAAACTGAAGGACAACGTCGTCGGAGAACCTGTATGACGCTTGCATCAGCTGATCGCAGCCACTCGATTCCGCTATCGCTTCTCCCGTGTTTATTCCGCTGACTCATGCGCCACTCTGCTATGCTGGATCATTTCCTCGAATCAATAATCCGCCCAGCTTGTGCTTTACACTCGTGATCAAGCCTGGCTTTATTATGTAGACTGAATAAAACGACCTGGTTCTCCTTGGGTTAAATCAATACTTCGAAACGGCGGGTTAATCGGAGTTCGCTGAATGAAAAACATTCCCCGCATATTATGTATTTATCCACGCCGTTTGGTTCACGTGCACGTGCTGATGTTTACATGTAGGTTACAATTCCCTGAACCTAAAAATAGAACAGGGGATTCCAACAGGGGATTCCAACAGAAAACGACAGGTGACTTCTTGGGTTTTTTTTAAATTCAGCGTGACTACATTAATGAGTAAAATACATTTGGATACATTTTATTTGTTTGCCCATTCTTTCTTCCCTTGTACATGGAGCTTATTCCAGCGAAGTTGTTAAACAGGAATATACGCAAAAGGCATCCATTTCCCTCGTTATCCAAGGCATAAGTACAGTGTATTAGAATAACAATACGCACAATACGCACTGAATGATGCAATGAAGTAGCCAGCAATTTCAAAAGGGGGGTTCTTTTTCTGAAAAAGTGGACCTTTTCCCATAAAAACTTCATGTACCTAGATGAAATTTTACCCAGAGTGGACCTTTTTAGCCAAAGGGGCGGTTCTTTCGAACCCCCCCAAACCCCCCTGGCTACGGGCCTGCATGATCATGATTCATCTAAAACTTAAAATCTGGCGCAACCTTACCTTCAATGGGTAAAATATTTCAGCGCTTTCACACTGAATACAGTGGGATTCATATTACAGGTGAAGGTGGGGTGCGTTCTCATTAAATAGATCCTTCTACCTGGTAAACAACAACTTCATTGGGACTCTCGTTGAACGCAATAATAATAAAAAAAAAGATGACTACGCCTCCCCATGGCGTTAAGTTAATTAAAGAAAATCTGCTTATTAACCCAGTGCGTTTGAAACAAAAGGAGGCGTGTTAGCCTGTTAATCTGATTGCGACTAATTCAAACGAACATAAAATAACTACGTGTATAATAAACCACAAAATAATGCTCAACAGATTAACACTAAAGGACACCCCTCAATATAAAACAAATTAAAATAATACTACAACTAATAATAATAATAATAAAAGCAATCAGTCACTTTAAATAGTAAAATTATGAAATATGTGATAAAACGTAAGTAGTGAGTAAGCATAAGATGCTCGTCATTAATCTAATTTTATACGACTCCCCGGAAGGAGTGGGCCGATCCTGGAGATACTGCAATACCAGGCCAACCCGTGGCAGGGGTGGAGCAAGCTCCTGACGCCCCGCCCAGTTCCAAAAATCAGTTTAATATCGAAGTCCCCTGTAGGAGACGTATCAGATATTAAGCTGATAAGAACAGATACTACACTTTAATCTTAGCCAAAAGGCCGAGAAGCGATGCCCACTAACGGCTAGTGAAGTGATGTCGACCTATAAATCTCAACCGCCTTGATGACTTGGATATCGTGTTTAGTTTTTCAACATCGCCAGCTTCATATATTCGTCTGGTTCGTTAACTGAACTATTCGACTGCCTCATTGCAATATTGCTTTATGGCAATGATTTTAAAAGTTGTGACGAGCTGCATTTTCAGTTCTTAAATCCTCTATTTATCCGATTTCAGCGAGGCACGGGACGTTCGCAAAAAGCGCCATTTCGCCCCATCGTATGGATCACAGCCGATTCACTGCATTGTTAGCGAACACTATTCCAAGTTTGAAGAGAGGCGAAGCCCGTCCGTACTCGCCAGATAACGTTCCGTTGCTGAAAAGCAGGCTTACGTGCATTTCGTGCTTCTCTGACAGCCTATTGGAACAAACTTGGATGGCGTCACAGACAGATAATGCACGACGTCGTTTCGACATAATAGTCTGATGTGTCACCGCGTAACTTGGAGGTGTTGTTTGTCAAAAGGACGGTGCAGAAGATTTCGGAGATGGTTTGCGTTAGTTTAAGCGACTGCGGTCTGTGCGCAATTCGGTCGCGTTTGAATTTATCCCACAGGTGGAGGCATTTTCGAGGAGTTTTTGCTTGCTGTACGCTTCATGCATTGCGCATTGTCGTATCCAAGCAAATATCTGTGTGAGTTTGCCTATATCGTATCAAGAAGGGAGAGTTGTTAGTTAATTTTATGTTTAACATGATTTTGTGAGTAGACTGAAGAGAGTTGTTATTTTTTAAATTTTATGCGACTCCCGGGAGGGAGTGGGCCGATCCTGGAGATACTGCAATACCAGGCCAACCCGTGGCTTGAGTGGAGCAAGCTCCTGACGCCCTTCCCAGTTCCAAAAATCAGTTTAAATCGAAGTCCCCTGTAGGAGACGTATCAGATATTAAGCTGATAAGAACAGATACTACACTTTGATCTTAGCCATAAGGCCGAGAAGCGATGCCCACTAACGGCTAGTGAAGTGATGTCGACCTGTAAATCTCAACCGCCTTGATGACTTGGATATCGTGTTTAGTTTTTCAACATCGCCAGCTTCGTATATTCGTCTTGTTCGTTAACTGAAGTATTCGACTGCGTCATTGCAATATAGCTTTAAGGCAATGATTTTGATCCAGAAGAAAGTTGTGACGAACTGCATCTTCAGTTCTTAAATCCCCAATTTATCCGATTTCTGCGTGGCACGGGACATTTCGTGCTTCTCTGACAGCCTATTGGAGCAAACTTGGATGGCGTCACAGACAGATAATGCACGACGTAGTTTTGACATAATAGTCTGATGTGTCACCGCGTAACTTGAAGACGCTGTTTGTCAATAGGACGGTGCAGAAGATTTCGGAGATGGTTTGCGTTAGTTTAAGGGACTGCGGTCTGTGCGCAATTCGGTCGCGTTTGAATTTATCCCACAGGTGGAGGCATTTTCGAGGAGTTTTTGCTTGCTGTACGCTTCATGCATTGCGCATTGTCGTATCCAAGCAAATATCTGTGTGAGTTTGCCTATATCGTATCAAGAAGGGAGAGTTGTTAGTTAATTATATTTTTAACATGACTTTGTGAGTAGACTGAGGAGAGTTGTTATTTTTTAAAATTTATGCGACTACCCGGAGGGAGTGGGCCGATCCTGGAGATACTGCAATACCAGGCCAACCCGTGGCAGGGGTGGAGCAAGCTCCTGACGCCCCGCCCAGTTCCAAAAATCAGTTTAATATCGAAGTCCCCTGTAGGAGACGTATCAGATATTAAGCTGATAAGAACAGATACTACACTTTGATCTTAGCCAAAAGGCCGAGAAGCGATGCCCTCTAACGGCTAGTGAAGTGATGTCGACCTGTAAATCTCAACCGCCTTGATGACTTGGATATCGTGTTTAGTTTTTCAACATCGCCAGCTTCGTATATTCGTCTTGTTCGTTAACTGAAGTATTCGACTGCGTCATTGCAATATCGCTTTACGGCAATGATTTTGATCCCGAAGAAAGTTGTGACGAGCTGCATTTTCAGTTCTTAAATCCCCAGTTTATCCGATTTCTGCGAGACACGGGACGTTCGCAAAAGTCTGATAATACATTTGGTATACCAGTGGCTGATAGTTACACCACAAATAGTTTTTTACAAAAAAGAAACAATGTAGATACAGTAGTCAACCGCCAAGGAAAAGCCTTGCTTGAACTATGTATGAATAGCAACTTAAGAATATTGAATGGTAGAGTCAAAGGAAATTCACTTGGGTATCCCACATGTTACAATAGGCAAGGGTGCAGTGCTGTTGATTATGCTATTGTAAGTGATAGACTGCTGAGAAAAATCATGTATTTAACAGTTTTACCTATTGATTATTTATCTGACCATTGCCTGCTAGACCTTGCAATCTACACCTCTGGTAGGCCTACTCAAGAAATAGAAAAATCACTGCTTNAACTGCATTTTCAGTTCTTACATCCCCAATTATCCGATTTCTGCGTGGCACGGGACGTTCGCAAAAGCCCCATTTCGACCGATCGTATGGATCACAGCCGATGCACTGCATTGTTAACGAACACAATTCCAAGTTTGAAGAGATGCGAAGCCCGTCCGTACCCGCCGGATATCGTTCCGTTGCTGAAAAGCAGGCTTACTTGCATTTCGTGCTTCTCTGACAGCCTATTGGAGAAAAACTGGATGGCGTCACAGACAGATAATGAACGACGTCGTTTCGACATAATAGTCTGATGTGTCACTGCGTAACTTGGAGACGCTGTTTGTCAATAGGACGGTGCAGAAGATTTCGGAGATGGTTTTCCTTAGTTTAAGCGACTGCTGTCTGTGCGCCATTCGGTCGCGTTTGAATTCATGCCACAGGTGGAGGCATTTTCGAGGAGTTTTTGCTTGCTGTACGCTGCAACATAAATTGAGCATGTCGTATCCAAGCAAATATCTGTGTGAGTATGCCTAGATTGTATCAAGAAGGGAGAGTTGTTAGTTTATTTTTTGTTTAACATGACTTTGTGAGTAGACTGAGGAGAGTCCTTATTTTTTAAATTTATGCGACTCCCCGGAGGGAGTGGGCCGATCCTGGAAGTACTGCAATACCAGGCCAACCCGTGGCAGGGGTGGAGCAAGCTCCTGACGCCCCGCCCAGTTCCAAAAATCAGTTTAATATCGAAGTTTCCTGTAGGAGACGTATCAGATATTAAGCTGATAAGAACAGATACTACACTTTGATCTTAGCCAGAAGGCCGAGAAGCGATGCCCACTAACGGCTAGTGAAGTGGTGTCGACCTGTAAATCTCAACCGCCTTGATGACTTGGATGTCGTGTTTAGTTTTTCAACATCGCCAGCTTCGTATATTCTTCTGCTTCGTTAACTGAAGTGTATTCGACTGCGTCATTGCAATATCGCTTTACGGCAATTATTTTGATCCCGAAGAAAGTTGTGACGAGCTGCACTTTCAGTTCTTAAATCCCCAGTTTATCCGATTTCTGCGTGGCACGGGACATTTCGTGCTTCTCTGACAGCCTATTGGAGAAAAACTGGATGGCGTCACATTCAGA